TCTCTCTCTCTCTCTCTCTCTCTCTCTCTCTCTCTCTCTCTCTATTTTGGTGCTTCCTCGCGCTGCCAAGCCCCTGACGTAATGCTCCGCTGTTAATGATTAGCATGTGGAAACGAGTAGCGCGAGCCTCCCCACGTCAAGGCGGCCGCAACGTTGCCGGAAGTTGACGTCGTCGTGCCTTCAAAATAAATACAACAATAAACACAGAAGATAGTGAGATTAAGATTGAACGCAGTGGTGTATTATTATATAATAATAATAATATACTTATTGAACCGAAATCAAGAATATACTTCAAAAACACTTCACTACGCTACTTGAGTAAATGTACTTTGTTACTATGTTTTGGTATAATTCTGAATATATAGTACACTGTGATAAAAGTATCTCTTGGTTGGGAGATGACGTATATATATATATATGTATATATCCTGTTATTCACAGTTTGTTTTATGTAAAGACCTCTCTTCATTTAGAAACATTATTATTGAACATAAAGGATTTTATTCATACAGTTTTAAAAAAATCTTTTCAGTACCCAGCTGCAACTAGTGCGGTGCTATGCACATTACTACTTGACTGACTATACTGTTAACCTGTTAATATTTTATGATCATAACTGTTAACCTGTTAATATTTTATGATCATAACTGTTACCCTGTTTATATTTTTTACTATTAATTAACCTGCTTATATTTATATAATTATATGTTAATAATATATTATCTTATATATTATATACTTGTATCTTTACTTCATACTAATCATAATCAAATTCTATATGTCTACCATATTTTATTGTACATTTTAATATGTTCATTGTTTATTGTTTTGCACCATTCACGAAGTCAAATTCCTTGTATGTGCAACGTATTTTCGCAATAAAATGGCTCTGATTCTGATTGGTTCTGCACTAATATCCCAAATCCATTGTCCACGGTCATTGTTGTTGTTCTTTATGTTCATATATATTCTTCGATTTATATTTATATTGTACATAGTTGTTACACGTTTATGCTTAGTTTCTTTGACCTACTTTGTTGTCTTTAATGTTTTTATATGTATTTATATTGCGTACACATACATGGCCAATAAAGCTGATTCTGATTCTGATTCAGCAAAATTCTTTGTTGACATTTTTGCCTCGCCGCACTGCAGTACTTTACTTTGAAAGCTCAAACCGGAAGTCACGCAGAGCTTCCGTCCTATCTTGACCGTGTGGTGCTTTTCTAGAGCCAGAGCAGAACGAGCCGCCCGTCTGCTGGGTGGAGAGACGGAGGAAAAGTTAGTTAAGATGGCAAATAATAAAATAAGAATAAAATAAAGTCAAAGATAAGCTGAGCCCGTCGCCGGTCCTCGAGACAAACACCAACGATGCGAACTGCTCCACGAGGTAAGAACCGTTAAAAGCTCCGTTAAAACCGTTTCACCGACAATTCAAACACTCTAACCGAAGTTTAAGAAAATACCCCGTTGTTTCGTTCACTCTTCTTTTCGGCTTTAGTGTTTATCCAAGAAAGAAATAAAACTCTTCGCATAGCTGTGCTATAACTATCAGCACCAGACTGCACGTGAAGAGGTACACACATACACTCACACAATGAGTTAGCGGTGAGAAGGTTGGCGGACATTCGTAAAGCTAGTCTTTGCTAACTTAAGTAGAAGTTACACGGTTCTTTCACGGGAAAGTTCCAGATCCAAAAAAGAAGGGGGACACACGCACAATCATACACACACACGTACATACACACACACACGCTCATACATACACACACACTCACACTATCATACACACACACACACACATACACACATACACACACACACACACATACACACACACACACTATCATACATCATATACATACACATACATACACACTATCATACACACACACACATACGTATATATAAACACAGACATGCACACACTCTATCATACACACATATATACGCGCACACACACACATCCGCTAACGGTCATTCTGTGTGTGCTGATGAAGCAAAGTGACAGTTTTAGACGTCGGCTGACGCTCCGTGTGCTGCTCTCTCTCTTCTCTCTGGTCTGAACTCACCACCACAGAAACTCAGCTGTGTACGAGTAAACCTGTCATTAAACGTCTCTTCAGCTGCACACACACCGGCCAATGGTCGCTATAACACCGGCCTCCTTCCTTTTGGAAAATTCCAGTAGCACCGACAGCTGTATTTTTAGGAATGGGTGGATACCAAAACGAATATTATTTATTTTTGTCTCGGCGGTGAATGCCACAAGCCTGTGCGATGGCGAGAAGGCGACCTATAAATGCTTGTATGAGTTTCTTCTTCTTCTCCTTCTTCACGTTGCAGCAGCACAAAGTCTGCAGAGCTGAAGCAACAAGGCTCACTGTCGCATTTCTATAGAACTGCCTTTTTGTTTCCTCTGTAGAAGTCATTGCATGTGTGTACAAAGAGCCACCATTGTCTGTTTTATGAATATGTTTTTCATCCTCCGCTTAACTTCTCACATCCTCCATGCAGGCTTAAGAGGGATTCCCTGAAGAAGAAGAAGAAGAAGAAGAAAAATGCCAGTGAGGCTGAAGCTGATGTGACACAGCGTGTGCTGGAAGAAAGCTGACTCATCGTATATCAAACCCTTCTGGGAGCAACTAAGCAGCCGAGAGCAGCTCATATCGCCAAATGCCGAGCTAGAGGAGAGCCTTTACACACACACACACACACACACACACACACACACACACAGAGGAGAAGACTACGTTGCAGAAAACCACCTCCTGCAGGAATATATCCAGCACCAGCAACGGCCGAAACTATTTTTGGGTCCAGAAGTTCTAAAAGTGACTGCTATCCCAGCCGCTAACAAGGCTAAGAATGGCGTCCTGGTGCTCCAGCTGAAACTCACCTGCTGACACCTGTAGAAACATCAACAATCAGCTGAGAAGACCACCCATCCTCCATATTTTTTCACTCCACCGCCACAGTCCGGTGGCCTCGCAGACCATGATGTTTCGCGATCAGGTGGGCGTGTTAGCCAGCTGGTTCAAGGGGTGGAACGAGTGCGAGCAGACGGTGGCTCTGCTGTCGCTGCTGAAGAGGGTGAGCCGGACCCAGGCCCGCTTCCTGCAGCTCTGTCTGGAGCACTCCCTCGCCGAGTGCACCGAGCTGCAGGTCCTGGAGGGAGAGGCCAACAACCCAGGTAGGACCTCCAGCTGCTCAGACACCTTTTTAACCTGCTACACCGATCCACTGAGATGCATTTGCATACCAGAGTCCTTCATTTGTTTGTCTTAGACCACATCTTCCTCCTTGTGTTGGTGTTATTTAAAGGGGAACAGACCAATGAAATAATCCATTTTCACCTCATATTGGCAAATAAATAATTCATTTTCTAGCTCTTTAAATTCATTTTAAGATATTTGAGATGGCACAGTCAAGAATAAAGCATTACTTCTTCTACACTGCAGTAGTTTTTATGATAAGTTACTGGCACATTAATGCTGCTTCAGGTGGCGTTCTGTTTTCTGATGGGAGAGAGAGACACAGTAGTCACATTCACAAATCTTTTGCCCACGCGTTTAAAAATTCAGAGAGCTTTCAAGGGCATGTTTTCCCAAAGGGCTGCAGTCCATGACCCTGGAAAACACACACACACACACACACACACACACACACACACACACAGGCTCCACGCAAGTATTGGAAGACGTTTCCTGTCCCAAACATTCCTGCAGATCCACCAAGAGTACTAAAAAGCTGAATCACTGATGGTGGGAAACTGCATCAGTGGGTTGTGCACAGTGTGAGCTCAGCCGGCACCGGAGATGTCCGTCAGTCAGTCGGTGTGCCGGCCTATAGCGCTGGCTTTCTCTCTGTGTTGGTATCGTGCCCGGGGGGGGGGGGGGTTCTGGCTGGCGTTCTGGCTGGCTGGGATTTGTTGCATCAGACTGCACCGTGGCTATGGAAACAAAAACCCTGGCAACAAACCGGGCTCATGAAAAATAGAAAGAAGCTGCTGCGTCCGTGTGTACCTATGGCAACATCTGCACGCAGTGATACATCTGCTGGCTCACAGCGCGGTGACTTAATGGCCCTCTGACACTCACACTTATTACACCAAGTTTCCATCAGGGTTTACAATCGGGGGCCCGTGGCTGCAGTTAGTGCAGGCCGGGCTCAGAGACGTCAAAGCATGCTGCACGGAGCTTCCTCCCAAAGACTGCTTCGTGCTGTCGGAGATCAAAGCGCGTTGAAGACGACTCGTATCTCTTCTTCAGAATACGGTGCATCGCAGTTTCTTGTGCTCTTCGTGGTGACGCTGGAGTCATAACTCACTCTTCTATTCTGTGTGAATATTAAAGACTCTGACTGGTTTATGGTCGAGGGCCTGTGGGTGGAAGAGGCTCGCTGTGGTTGTTTGTGTAAAACATAAAGAAATGCCCTGTGAGTTGAACACTTTCACGTGTAGCCTGTGAATAGCTGGTGCTTCTTTTTCTTCTTTTTGCTGCAAGTTTCTAACAGTTCATACCTAACTTGTAGTTACAACAGATCATGTTTGCTGAAGACACATTATTCCCAAACAAACAGCGTAAACACGGAGTCTGGTTCAGCATTAGGGCTCGTGTTATTTACTTATTTATTTATTTTTTACTTTCAACATTGGACTGAAGCAGTAGGACAGATTCCACCTTTATTAACATAGCACTGGTAGACCCCCCCCCCCCCCAGCAGAAATACGTTCATCGTGCAGAGCACTACTCAATATCTGTGTGTGCATGACTTGAGTAACTTCAGTCCATGTCTGCTCCAAATCTTCAGCACCACAAGCCCTGTCCAGTGGAATCCTTTAACATTAGCATCTTTAGCTTTTAATGGACTTCTCCTCCTCCCGTACCTCCCAGATTAGATTTTTGGGCCACGCCCCTTTGAGTTGTCTCCCACCTGTGTCAGCTTGTGGTCGCTTCCCATCCGCTGATTCAGCTAAATGAGATGGAGTCAGCGGGCCTGACACACGCTGCTGGAGAAGGTTGTCTGGTTACGTTACCCCTCCGGTATGTTGTGGTGTTTCAGTGCTCATGTGTTGGCCTGATCTTGTATTGATTATAAAGTGTCTTCCAGTTTGAAACTATTTCTTTGTGTGTGTTACTGCTGTGTTAGCATGTTATATACATTTCTAAACCAGAATCATCTCTAAGTAGGGCACAGATTCTAGAGATGATGTCTTGGGTCATGAAAGCTATTCAGTTAAATTCAACTAAACTATCTACGATCACCCCTTCAATCATCGATATACGATCTGATCCGACCCGCTGAATACCGTGTAACGCAAACAAACGATATTAGCAATGCAGCTGTAAACATGAAGTGCAGTCGAGCTCCACAGGCTCAGTCGGTTAACAACAAAACCACAAACCGCTCACAGGTTGAAGGAGCTCCTCTCAGACCACAAGCCTCGTGTGACGTAAAGGGTTAACGTGCAGCTGGAAGTCTTGGGCTGAGTGGAAAAGCGCAACTATTTGCAGAGCGGTGTACAAATGAATGGAATCCTCAGTGACCTACTTCTCGGAGCGGCTGAGAGGTGGCCTTGTTTTTTGGGACCCGAGACTCGGTCGTGTTGGATGGGGAGAGACTGTCTCACTGTGAAGGACGGGCGGAGTTACATCACCGCAGGGCCCGTCTGTTTATTTCATGTTGTCTTTAGAGTGACACTATTTACTCGACTCCTGTGAGTACATTTGGTGACTTTAAGGAGTTTGTAGCATTAATCTGAACAGCTGAGTACGGATGTGTAATGAGCTCAGACGTCACTCTGTCACTCATTATCACCCCGACCTGATATAATAATAACATCATAATATTAAGGATTAACCCCCTGAAGGAGAACAGAACTTCTTTTGAGACAATCCCAAGAGGGACGGTGTTGGAGTTGGGACAGGACAGCGGTCCACTTTATTTTGGTGTGTCGTGCTGCTGACCTGGTACCACACGGCTGTTTGAGCCACAAGGATTGGATTTGTATGAGCAGCTGGAGACGGAGCTCTGCAGTCGCTTGTGTTTTCACTGAGGGTTCATCCATTTCTCTTAGTTTGCTAATCCCAAATTCATATTGATTTGGTCTCATCTTTGTTGGTTAAATGCACATGGTGCACTACACATGAGCAGGATTGTATGATTCATAGATTCAGGATTTTATATGAATGTCATTTTAAGAATTTCTACAAGTTAATCGAACATTTGGTAACACTTTATAATAACTACACGCGATGAAGTAGGGCTGGGCGGTATGACCAAAAATGCATATCACGGTATTTTGTAAGATTCTGGCGGTTTCACGGTATATCACGGTATTTTTTAATTCGCATTAATTAATTAACGCTGAAAAGAACCGGCCGTCCAACCGGCCAGCGAGCGGTGAACAGCTGTTTGTGTGGCGTGTCTTCCGTTCCGTCACTTCCTGTTTCCTTCACCTACATTCCCCTGGGTCCTAATCCCCTCCAAGTACAGCTTCTTATCACCCTCTATGTAGCAGTACATTTATAACAAATACCACACATATTACGGTAATCAGCGTTGCATAGGTGTCTGACCAAAATACCTTTTGTTGTTCAGTCTTTGTTCATCCTGCATCGCTCTTTTCTGTTCTTTAATGTAACGTTACTGGAGCGACAGAGCCTCTCCCAGCTGTTAGCAGACTGTTGTTAGCGAGCCTTACCCAGCATGCAGTTCGGCGGTGAAATTTTATAAATGTAAAATTATTAGTGTTACAAATTGTTTATCTGTCACAAACTGTTGTTTCGTGGTGTTTTGCCCTGTTAAAGAGCGTTAGTTGTGGGTTGTTAATTGTTGTTATGACCATGACTAGGGTTACCACTCAATACACTTGACACAACTAGCTCCGACCGCAGCGCTTTCAGCAGCGAACAATATATTTTGCTGCCTGTTGAAGAGCGACAGAAGTTGTTACGGCTGTGCACCGGTATGACGGTATATGAAAAATTCATATAATACGGGGAATTAAAACCGGTATACCGCCCAGCCCTACTTCCAGCTAACAAAAAACAACTTCTCATAGAAGCTGCTGGCCCTGGCTTTGCATCTACTATTATAGCGAGAGAGGTGAATTCCTGTTGGTCTCTCTCTGTGTCTCTGTGTCTCTCTCTGTCTGTGTCTCTCTGTCTCTCTCTCTGTGTCTCTCTCTGTCTAAACTAGGTCTGATTGGAAAAACCCAGGCTGGAAATCAGCATTCCTGGCTTAGGCGGTAAAGGGTTCCGGTGTTGGGGATACTGTCTAGGAATGTGGGCACGTCAGAGCACACTTGAGTCAGGCGCTTTGGATGGGGGGGGAGAGACACGTTGGGAAAAGGAAAACTGATTCCACCTTCAGTGGAGCTAAGGTCTCCTGAGTACACGGCGGTACAGAGGGAGGGCTGAGGAAAGGAAAAGAAGACTGAACAGTTGAAGTTCACTCATACTGTTCTCTGTCTCGTCCTGACCCGTTAAAATAATACACAAATGTATTGTGTGTTTTCCTGGAGGAAACTCTCAGGTGGTTGCAGAGAAGTCACATGATCCGTACTCGTATAACGCCTAACAGCACCATGAAATGCTGCAGCAGAACCTATGAGAAGCCAAATGGATATATATATATATATATAAAAAATGGAAACACCGGTACCACTCTTTTACTTCTAGTTTGATGTAGTCGACCAGCTCTGCCAAACGGAGCTTCTATAAATACTGCCCCCCGACAGAGCTACGAGTTTAGAGTGAAAGTGATCCGGTCTGATTTTTTCACACACTTTTTTTTTGTCAACATCCTCTGTGCCTCATTGGCCATTCTGACAAAGACAGAGAGAGGAAACTCTCGTCTCTGGTTTGGGCGCCAAACTATTCCATCGCACCCACGCATGAGCAAACGGGTTATTTCTGGAAGTTGACGGCGTGTTCTGTGAACTCGTACTGAACCTCAGGAATGGGGACAGACAACCTGCCAGAACAAGCAGAGGGGGAAAAACGAAATATAAAAGCTCGTCTTTTCCACTCTGCCTCTACAGCAGAGGCTTTCTCCTCTCGCTTCTTGCTTCCAGTTCCGTGTGTGTGTGCGTGTGTGTGCGTGTGTGTGTGTGTGTGTGTGT